CATTACCCTTTTAATCTCTGGTCTGTGCTTGTTACGCGGACTTTTAGTACCAGTGGTCAAAGGGTAGATGCTATGGGGATAATGAAATGCTGACTGCTGAGGTTTCTGCTACCCAGCAGCCTCCATGCATCCCCTGGGAACAGCTTAGGTAAGCCTAGTGCAGCAGAGGGCGCCTTCCACCTGGGTCTCCTGTCTTGAATTTTTAAGTGTTTTCCTTCTGTAGCACCCCACCACGACCCAAAAAGCAGAATCCTAGCCTACATGTTTATTAGAAAATGCAGTAATTTTCATTCCTTGAACCCAGACTAACAGATGGTGGTGGTGGTGGTGGTGGTTGTCAAAAACATACTGGAGGGCTGGCACTGTGGCGTAGCAGGTAAAGCTGCCGCCTGCAGTGCCAGCATCCCATATGGGCGGGCAATTCGAGTCCTGGCTGTTCCACTTCCAATTCAGCTCTCTGCTGTGGCTTGGGAAAGCAGTAGAAGATGGCCCAAGTCCTTGGCCCCTACACCCACGTGGGAGACCTGGAAGAACTGGCTCCTGGCTTTAGATCAGCACAGCTCCGTCCGTTGGGGCCAACTGGGGAGTGAACCAGCGGATGGAAGACCTCTCTCTCTCTCTCTCTCTCTGCCTCTGCCTCTGCCTCATCCTCTGCCTCTCTGTAACTCTGCCTTTCAAATAAATAAATAAATATTTTTTAAAAAATGGAAAGCAGGAAAAAAGAGATCATACAGTGAATTCTAAATTCCACCCCCCCAAAAAAATCACAAAAATAATTTTCCCATCAAAGTTGATTTCTTTCACCAATTGCAATAAAAAGATTTTAAATTCTTCATTCTGTTTTTCCTTGTAATTTTTATTAAAAGTTAAAAAGCAATAACAAATCAGCTGTCAGAACGTTAGGAGATACAAATAGCCAAAATATTCTTGTGATGTTGTGATGCAGTGGGTTAAGCCACTGCCTGCGACACTGGAATCCCATATTGGAGTGCTGGTTCAAGTCTCATCTGCTCCATTTCTGATCTAGCTCCCTGCCTTGGAAAGCAACAAAGGATGGCCCAAGTGCTTGGGCCCTGCCACCCTCATAGGAGACGCAGATAATGTTCCAGGCTCTTGGCTTCAGCCTGACCCTGCCCTGGCAGAGGAGTGAGCTAGTGGATGGAAGATCTTTCGGTCTCTCTCACTCTGTCTGGCACCCTGCCTTTCAAATAAATTAATCAGAGGAAGGAAGGAAAGAGGAAGAGGAGGGAACAAGGTTAGAATTCTCAGTGCTTCCTGGTTTCAAAACTTACTACAAAGCTATGATAATCAAAACAGTGTGATCCTGGCACAAAGATAGACATACAGAACACTGGAATAGAATAGAGTCCAGAAATACACTCTTGCAATCACGGTCAAATGATGTTCCACAAAGGTGCCTGAACTCTTCAGTGGAGAGAGGACGGTCTTTTCAACAGTGTGGGGGAAACAGGGTATCTGCATGCCAAAAAGGTGGCAGGGGGAGTGAGTTAGACACTTAAGAGACACCATATACGAAAATGAAAATGGATCCAAGAGCTAAATGTGAGACCTAAAGCTATAAAACTTCTAGATAACATAGGAAGAAGGTTGCAGGATATTGGATTTGACAATGATTCCTGAATCTGACAGCCAAAGCATAGTAACCAAAATAGAAATAGTTAAGTTGGACTTCATCAAAAGTAAAGGTATCTGTGGGGCCAGCATTGTAGAGGAGCAGGCATAAGCGGGTGCTGGTTCAGTCCTGGCTGCTCCAGTTCTGATCCAGCTCCCTGCTAATAGCTTGAGAAAAGCAACAGAAGATGAAGTTCCTGGCTTCAGCCTGGCCGGGCACAGGCCATTCCAGCCATCTGGGAAGTAAACCAGCAGATGGAACATCCCCTGACCCCCACCCCGCCAGTCTCTGTAACTCTAACTTTCAAGATCAATAAATAAATATTTTTTAAAAGGGTAAAGATATTTGTTCCTCAGGGGACACATCAAAGGAGTGAAAAGTATCTTACTTAGTAGGTGAAATGCTTACAAATCATGTATCTGAAAAGGGATTGATTTCTAGAATATATAAAGAACTCCTACAACTCAACAACAAGAAGCAAATGGAAAATAAAGAAAGACTTGAATAGGCATCTCTCCAAAGACATGCACATGGCCAATAAACACATGAGAAGATGCTCAACCTCACTAGGCATTGGGGAAACACAAATCTAAACCACAGTAAGACCCCACCTCATACCCAGTAGGATCACTATTATATTCCAACAGAAAATAATAAGCATTAATGAGGCTGTGGAGCAGCCGGCGCCACAGCTCAATAGGCTAACCTTCCACCTTGCGGCGCCGGCACACCAGGTTCTAGTCCTGGTTGGGGCGCCGGATTCTGTCCCGGTTGCCCCTCTTCCAGTCCAGCTCTCTGCTGTGGCCCGGGAGTGCAGTGGAGGATGGCCCAAGTGCTTGGGCCCTGCACCCCATGGGAGACCAGGAGAAGCACCTGGCTCCTGGCTTCAGATCAGTGCGATGCACCGGCCACAGCGTGCTGGCCGCAGCGGCCATTGGGGGATGAACTAAAAGAAAAGGAAGACCTTTCTCTCTGTCTCTCTCTCTCACTGTCCACTCTGCCTGTCAAAAATTTAAAAAAAGAAAATGAGGCTGTGGAGGAATTTGAACCCCTGTGCGTTGCTGGTGGGAATTTAAAATGGTACAGCTGCTGTAGAAAACAACTTCTCAGTTCCTTACAAAACTAAACCTCGAATTACTGTATGATCAGAAAGTTCCACCTCTGAGTGTGAAGCCCAAGGAGTGAAAGCAGCGGCTCACACAAATACATGTGCCTCCATGTTCACAATAGCTTTATCCACAGTAGCCAGGAGGAGTAGGCACCCCAAGCTCCTACTAGTGGATGAATGGATAACAAAATGTGGGTTATCCATACATGGGCAGTTTGGACACATGCCGTAACATGGATAGACCTGGAAGACATTGTACTCACTGAAATAAACCAGCCACAAAAGAACACATACTGTGTGAGTTCACCTATATGAGGTTCCTAGCATAATCAAACTCATTGAGACAAAAAGGAGAAGAGTGATGGCCAGGAGCTGGAGTGAGGGGGAGAATGGGAGTTATTATTTAGTTCGGTACAGAGTTTCAGTCTGGGAAGATGAAGAACGTGGTGGAGATGGACAGTGGTAATGGCCGCACTGCGGAGTTATCGAACAAAACTGGACACTTGGAAGTGGTTAATTTTGAAAATGCTGCTTTATGTGTATTTTACCATGACAAAAAGTTAGCAGGGAAATAACCCAGAAGTAATAAGTGAATGAGTTGTCAAAAATTAGGAGGACGTTAAATGTACAATAATAGAGAAACACAAATGATTAAATAAATTGTCAAGATCTACTCAGTGGGATGTCTATGTAGGCAGTAACATTTACTAATGGTGGCAGCATGGAGAATTACTAAGATATGGGATTAAATGTGTGTGGGGGAGGAGAAGGGATTGTCATAGGCTATAATTGGAATAATAAATAAGTCTGGTTCAGAAAAAAAAACAGGGAATATCAAAGTGCTTTAAGACTTTATGTGAAGATGATGAAATTACTTCTTTTTTTTTCACGTATTTCCCAATTGTTTTGGAAAGTGGATATGACAACCTTAGTGAAAAATAAATTTATAATCAAAAATGAAAAGAAGCAGCAAGCAAATGTGCTTTAATAATTAATAAAATTGTTTTTAGTTATCATGCATAGAACCCAAAATACTGGATGTTTTTGAGGTTTTTGTAAAGTTGTATAAAAATCAAGATTCCTGGAAAATCCTTGTTCAGTTCTGTGCTTCAGAAACCATTCAGGATTCAGGTCACTGAGTGGAGGACACAGAAGCTGAGCATCCTTGGAGGACACTTTTCAGGGAATGTCACGCATTTGTCACTGGGCAAAGACAACTTCCCAGAGGCAGTAACTGCATGCCTATTTAGGTTAAAGCTGACTCACAGCTTGGCAAATAGGACAGCCTTTGAAACCGTTTTCCAAAATGAGACCGTGAGTCTAAGTGGGTTATTCTTAAAACTTAATTCCATAGCCATCTTCTGTCTCCAACTTCCTTATTGTCATTATCTCTTCTCTCACAAACTCCACCACCCACTGAAGGAAAGAGAATCAGAACAGATGTCCCTGGGACTGTGGGGAGGGGCAGGAAGGGAAAGGCACTGGGCTTGAAAGGTGATGTCTGTGGGGCCAGCGCTGTGGCACAGCGGATTAAAGCCCTGGCCTGAAGCACCGGCATCTTATATGGGCGCCAGTTCTAGTCCCGGCTGCTCCTCTTCTGATCCAGCTCTCTGCTATGGCCTGGGAAAGCAGTAGAAGATGGCCCAAGTCCTTGGGCCCCTGCACTTGCATGGGAGACCCGGAAGAAGCACCTGGGTCCTGGCTTCGGATCGGCGCAGCTCCGGCCATTGCGGCCATCTGAGGAGTGAACCAGCGGACAGAAGACCTCTCTCTCTTTCTCTCTGTCTCTCTCTCTCTGTCTCTCTCTGTCTCTCTCTGTAACTCTGTCTTTCAAATAAATAAAATAAATCTAAAGAAAGAAAGAGAGGTGACGTCTGTGCTATAAAGGGCAGGTAGAGGGTAGGAGAAGGGGGCTCTGGCTCCTTACAGACTACCCCTGACCTCACCTGCAGAGCAGGTCTCAGGAAGGTCAGCTTCCCAGGGGAGCGGGGAAGGTGTATGTGAACGTGCCAGGGTCACCAGATGCACAGGGTTCCAGCCTTCCTTCTAATGGACCCTGTTTCCAGTTTCTCTAATCCTTCTCTTTTGTCTGTTTCCCAAAGCCAGGTCCATAGCAGACACTGCCCACAAAATCATCTCCTCATTTAGTTCCATTCCATGGAGCCCTCGGATCTTGGTGTGAAGAAGTTTTCCAAAGCCCCAGTTTGTTTCTCTGCTGCCCTCTGCCACCTTGAACCGTTGTCTCCTCATCCATCCTAGGTGGTTCGAGATCAGATCTCTCACTGCACTGTGAAACTGCGCCAGACCACGGGTCTCATGGAGTACTGCTTGGAGGTGATTAAGGAAAACGACCCTAGTGGCTTTTTGCAGGTGAGTGTTAACTTGTTTCTGCCGTAGGTTCCAAATGTCCCATGCTGAGTTTCCTACATCCTGGGAAGGCCTTCCGATGTTCCTGGCTGGGTATGGATCCCCCATACAGCCTTCCTCACCCCACAGTGGGTGGGTACCAGCTAGATAAACCCCACTGTCTTTCTGGAAGTGTCTCCAAACATATATTCCAAAACTGAAAAGTGCATGGGCTGTGTTGGTTATGTTCTTGTGTTTGATCATAAAAACGTAATTTCTTGTAAGCTCTTCCAAAGTTAATGCCTTGCCTAAGAATTGAGTTTTTCTCCATTAATATCCCTCGGGCAGTTTCATCTGCTGGAAATGCCCAGTTATGCAAGGCTTATGTTTTCTTGATACCTCCTACTGACCAGCAAGTCAGTGATCTAGTGGGTATAGTGGAGGTTTTTTGTTCTTCAGTGTCGTTTTAGAGAAATGCAGTGACATAAGCTGAATTTTGTTTAATTTTGATCCCAATGATAAGGCACCTTGTAGATATCTTCCAACTCAAATTCTGCTTGTCGTTCCCCCTCTTCGTGGAGGAACGACACTAAACCCTTCCTAGGCTTCCTATCCGAGTCACGGCACCATTATGTCGCTCCCCCTCTTCGTGGAGGAACGACACAGGACCCTGCACTGTTCTTTTGTCTGCTCGGCCCTCCCCGGGTTTGCTGCTGGTTCTTCCCGGGTTGGCTACTGTCCCTTCCACCTCCGTGGAAGGGCGGTTCCCCCTGCCACTTTCCCCACTTCCGCAGGGGAGCGGCACACCGCCGGCCGGCTCTCTCAGGGGCTGCACAGGTGTTCCTCAGGTGTTCCTCTTAGATGTTCCTTGTGCATGTTGTCTCTCTCTTCCTATATAGTCCTCTTCCGCCAATCCCAACTCGGCTGCCCACACACCGAGTACACTGCTCTCCTCCAATCAGGAGCAGGATCAGCTCCTGGAGGTCATCACTCAAGTTGGCAAGAGGCAGCTGCGTAGAAGCTGTTTTCTCCTCTCCCAGCGCCATATTGTGGGAGAGCAGATGCATAGAATAAGTCTTAATTCCAGTAACTTAGTCTGGTCCGAGTTGCTCCCAGTTGCTCCCCACACTGCTAAACTAGCTAAGAATGACAGAGGGAGACTGAATATAAGAAAGAGTTGTATACCAAACAAGAAAGTGATAATCACATGAAGATTATGCACTGAAAATGTAAGACATTCTATACACAGTCTGTCTAAACTGTTTTATAAAGCATTTGCAAGTCTTGATGAGATACGCACAGCTAAAATCGGAAGCTGTTGATTCTAATAAGGTTAATTGGTCACCAATGTATCATTCTTTAAAGTTGTTGGCTTTTAGTGATAAAGAGCATAATCACACATCCAGGTTTGTCTGTTAGACCAGTGAGCACCTGCTATTTATAGCTCCTCCTGACTCAGAGAGACACGCGTGTTTGCTTGCTAAGGCTGGATCACCCCCGTCCTAGCCAACCCCCTCTCATCAACTGCACTGCAGCAGGGAGGGTCTGGGCCCCAAGGCGCTTTGGTGGTGACACCCCAGAGGGTCAAGAAGCACCTCGTGTTTGGAGTGTGGTGTTCTGTTTCTTAGGCTGTGGTCTTTGATGTGATTAGATCTCTGACGCCCTCATAAGGAGAGTGCACCTGACTGAGGACCAGTGGGGGAAGGGCACACTCACTCCCAGGATGACCACCGACTTCGACTTGAGTCTGGACAACAGCCCTCTGCTGCAGTCCATTCACCAGCTGGACTTCGTGCAGGTGAAAGGTACGTGCTCGCATTCCCCGGGCAGGCCACAGCATCCCCAGTGGGTACTGGCACCTGAGGCAGGTTCAGTGTCCCTCAGGCTAATGTCACAAAAGCCTGGAGTGGCTCCTGTCCTATCAGGTAATGAAAACGTCTCCTTGTGGCAGTGTGGCCCACCTCTGAGCCAGTCAGATAAGTTGCATGCTTGCCTCTTTGAGAGGTTTCACATGCTCAGCATCAGGGAATAGTTGACCTGAAAAGAGGCAGGGAGAGAAGATCACTGCACGTAAATAAAATCTTGTTACAGAAAGTAACCCAGAAGTGTTGACAGAAATCTAGAGAGGCCAGAAATGAAAGGACTGCTCTCGCCTGGATAGAAATAGTGAGCAAATGGTTAAGCATGGATCAGTGGGAATTTGAGATGATCACAGCCCACCTGCTAAGAACAGCAGGAAAGCGCAGGCCTGGAAGCAAAAACGAAAAACTTAAAATGAACTTTAAAGCCAGTTTATATGATCAAGTGATGGAGCCTTTGGGAGCAGGAGGGGGATTAAAGGGGAGGAAAAGTATTATTTTAAGGAAAATGGTTCTTTCAAAGAAAAGTAAAACCTCAAGCCAACCATGCAACAAGACTTTTTTATGGCAATGTAAGTAATATCCACTTGTAGAATATTTTTAATCTTTTTTTGACTTTTTGTTTTGAAATATACCTTCACAAGAAGTTGGAAAACTAAGAAGCCAGCACTGGTTGTGTGTGTGTGTGTGTGTGTGTGTGTGTCTGGTTCCATGGAATTCTGTGACAGATATGGACTCATACAATCACAATGGCAGTCAAGCCCTAGAACTGTGCCAGTGCCACAAGGATCCGCCCTGTGCCGCCCCTATACAGTCATACCCCCACCTCCATTGTCCCTTGTCCTTGGCCATTACTAATCTGTTCTCTGAGTTTGTGTCATTCTCTGGTCATTTTCAGAACTGAAGATACTGATTTGCTCTTAGCAGTTCCCACTTTAAGTACCCAGGTGATAAATGACACTTAGAACTTCAGTGTTTTTTTAAAAGTTCACCTGCTGCTTTTTTTTTTTCTCCAGACAACGGGAATCTTATAATCAGTCAGTTTTAGGGCTATTAGGTCACGGTTAAACCTATCCCTGTAGTTGGTGAATATCCTTCTCTCATCCTTGTAATATATTTTTGCTCATTTATTTTCAGTTTTCTCTCTCCTTTGCATTGCTTTCAGAAGATACCTTAATCCATTTGGGGGAAAGTATATAGATTATAAGTGAAAGTGCTTTGTTATGGTTACAAAAACACGGAGCATTTATTGAGTGCTAAATGGGCCAGGCATTCTAAGAGTTTTTCGTGTCTTAACTCGTTTTTGTCTCACAACTCCACCAGTGAGCTCAGGAGACTGAGGCATAGGAACCTGGGTTGCCTGGCGAAGCTGACACAGCGAGTGCCTGGGATAGGTTTCGATGCTAGGGCGGATGGCTGCAGAACCCACTCCTACAATTTCCAAGTTACGCTGTAAAGCTTGCTCTTTCCTTAGCACCTTCTTCTAGGAATAACTGAATTCCTCTCTTAAACATATAAACCTGATTGTGTGTGTGTGTGTGTGTGTTTAGGAATTCCTTCTTTCTGTTTATTCTATTTCCCTGAAGACCAAATGGTAAAGTGGGAAGTAAACCTATCCCTTGTAGCCCAGGCCCCTCCAGCAGCCTCCCTGTGCCAGTTCTGTCAGATAAAATCATTGAAAGGTTATGTCACAGGCAGCTTAGAGGAGGCAATATGTCACAGAAGACCCGTCTTCAGCGTTTTGGAAGAAGAGGAGGAGATGAGCCAACCCAATTAGCTGGGGAGGAAGGGGAGGGGACAGTTGGAGGGTGAAAGGATTTAAAAATTATTTCATCAGCTGCCAGCACCCTGTCCTCCTCCATTCATTGCCCTTCTGAGTCCTGTCTACCCACAGTGGAGTCCACACTGGTTGGCAGGATGGTAACCATTGTGTTGGGGTGAACAGTTCCCCAGAGCTCCGTGTGCTCTGCATCACAGAATATCAGGATGCACCCGGAAGTAAGGACGGACAGGCCCATGTGTACAGCTTTGCCAAGCCTGTGCATACAGCGGACAGCGTCAAGTCCTCTGATGGCCAGAACACAGCAAAATTCATCCAGAACAGACCATTATCCAGAACAATCATTCCTGAAGTTAATATAACAGGCCATTTGGTATGAGACTGAATGATCTCATCTTCCTTTTCTTTTTAACACTTCATCTTAATTTAATTTAATTCTGATTATTATCACTCTGCCAAGTTAATTTATATGCTCTGCTTTGTACTCATTAAGTTTAATTAATTCAGCGAGAGCCCATTCCTCTTTGGAATCTGAATGTTTATGTGTCAGCTGCTTGTGATGGAAAGAAATGTGAAAGGTCATGATGCAATAGAACCCGATTGGCTGTAGCTGACACTTCCGCTGGCTCCTGTAATATCTGTTAACATAACGGATACAGCTCTTCCTAGTAGACTCTTCCTCTGGTCATTTTGTAAAAGCAGGTCAGTGTCGTAAACGGCACTCTCACAATTTGTCTATAGAAAGACCTCGAGACTGTACCATAAAAATCCATGTATAAATGTCCAAAATTAAGGAGCTTTTGGAGTGGTGTTAAAGCAATCTGACCACTGTGAAACTAACGATGTGTACACTTACTTGGGTTTTCTAAGTATGCCATGTGAATGGAAGTAAAATGGCAGTAGAAAGTTATTTTCAAGGATACTTAAAAATGCATTGGAAGTTATGTTTCAACGTGATAACTAAAATAGTAGGGTACTTAAAAATTATGATGCAATGGGTAAAAGGTAAGTTTATTTTCATGCAAAAAAATCTGAAATCCATGCGTGTGAGAGGTCTTTAAAAAGTCCATAGAAAATGTGTATGATTAAAAATCTATGCATAGATTTTAACATTTTTTGCATAAAATTATATATTGTCTTTTAATTCCATTTTTCCAGAGACATATTGAAATGCCCTCATATCTGTTTATTGCTTTGACTCAAAATTTTAGCATGCCATCTCTCTAGTTTTGAAATCTCATCCCAGATGCCGTTTTGTTGTTGTCCCAAAGGTCTGCAGTTGGTATTCACAATTCCATTCAGGCAGTGAGAAGGCAATGCCTAAAGTTACTCTCTTATTAGCTAAGGATTTAAGTGGTCTGGTCTTTCTGGTTCCACATCCCCTCCCCTCTGCGAGCTATTGTCATCTCTCTGGGGAGCTCTGATGCCTTCTTTGTTCAAGAACCCCTAAATCATAATGACATGTGTTCTGTTGATTAGAAAGCCATCTTACTCTCTTTCCAGATTATTTGGACTGGTGTTTGATCTTTCAGACTTGTCTTTTATAGAAAACAATATATTAAGTTTACCTTCTGTTTTCATTGGAGACTGATAGAAACATTTTTTCCCCATACTTCTAAGTTGGTATTATCAACTCTTTCTCAGGTCATGGGAATGAGATTTTGAGAGTCTTTTCCTAGTCTGCCAAGGGCTCTGCTGCTTGGTTAAGAACATATTTCAGATATGTGCCCCCTTCCAGAAAACTATTACCCCAGAGTTGTCTAAATACACAGAGTATCCCAAGAGCACAAGTCATGGTGCTGTAATGAAATGCCGGTGTGGTTATTCTGAACCAGGTCAGAACAGCAACCCAGTACTTCAAGAATGGCTGTTAATCCCTGTAAGTGCCTCTACTCACCTAAGCACTCAATTGTCTTTATTAACTCATGATGAATGTAAGAGCCCTGAGTGTGCAGCAGTGTCATCGCCAATGACAATATGACCTGAACAAACTCTGCTATAAATCAGTGAGGGCCATCAGAGGGTTGACAAGGTTGAGGTGAGCCCTCGTGTGCTTCATGTCATCTGTTCCTGCTCTATTTCTGGGGGCCTAAAATGCATGTCCTTCACACATGCACTCATCTTTATCCGTAAGCCTGCACCAGGGACAGCTTGCTAGACCAACTTGCAGTGCCTGTAATGTCCAGACTTTCCCCAGATGCTAAGTGAATTGTTCACCTACTTTAAAGAGGAAGGTCAGTCTACAAGTGAACTCAGAGAAGACACTGCAGTAAAATTGCACTCCCAGCCATCATTTCTGAAGGTGAAATGTCACATTAATTTCTACCTGTAATTCTTGGTAATTTTAAGAAACAGAAACTTTTGGCACTAGGCATGAAGCCTTTGCTGCTAGACACTATTACTAAGTACCAGACTGGAGAAATAATATGAGAGTACTTCAAGAAGTTCATGAAAAATAGTTTTGAAAGTTGTTTGGGGGGCAGGTGCTGTGGCACTGCAAGTTAAGCCAGCATCCACAGTGCCAGCATCCCATATGGGCGCCATTCTGAGTCCCAGCTGCTCCACTTCCGATCCAGCTTCCTGCTAATGCACCTGGGAAACAAGCGGAAGATGGCCCAAGTTGTTGGGCCCCTGCACCCATGTAGGTAACCTGGAAGAAGCACCTGGCTCCTGGCTTCGGCCTGGCCCAGCCCCAGACATCACAACCATTTGGGGAGGAATCAGTGGATGGAAGATTCTCTCTCTCTCTCTCTTTCTCTGTGTGTGTGTGTGTGTGTGCCTCCTTCTTCCTTCTCTCACTCTCTCTGTAACTTTGCCTTTTAAATAAATATGTAAATCTTTTTTTAAAATTTGTTTTGGTGCAGTATATATATGTGTGTATGTATATATATATATATATATTTTTTTTTTTTTTTGACAGGCAGAGTTAGAGAGAGAGAGAGACAGAAAGGTCTTCCTTCCATTGGTTCACTCCCCAAATGGCTGCTATGGCCAGCGCACTGCACCAATCCGAAGCCAGGAGCCAAGTGCTTCCTCCTGGTCTTCCACGTGGGTGCAGGGCCCAAGCACTAGGGCCATCCTCCACTGCCCTCCCGGGCCACAGCAGAGAGCTGGACTGGAAGAGGAGCAACCAGGACAGAATCCAGCGCCCCGACTGGGACTAGAA